TTCCCGAGGCAAAACTTCCAATTCCTAGGGGAACGAATATCGACTGTCGATCCACCCTCAAACCATGTTATATTTGTATGACATCATCCACTTACCTGTACAACGTATTGTAGTTGTTTTCTAGGTACAGTTGGAAAGTCTTTTCCTGTATGCACTCTAGCTGTCAGCAGATTATCAGCCACACCCTACTTGCACAGCACTACTGTACGTTTCTGCACACGAACGTGTACTATGTACATGTACTAACATACACCATCACTTCCTAGCTAAGCTTCCGTTGTGACGTCACAGTTGAACTGCTTTCCTCATGAACATATTTCTCATCTTGGGAATTCCCCGATTTGTATGAAAAGCTTTTTTTCATAGGACTCGTACCTCTGACCTCAAGCATACATACATGTACGGTACTTGTATGTTGTTGTCAGTTGTGTACGCACGTGTATATGCCCATTCTTGTTCACTGTACCCGGCTGCTCTTGTGCATGGTGTATGGGTCTGTGTATTACAGTTCTAAAATAAATATTGAAACAAGACTTTATGATGGTAACATTTCTAGCAAATGGTGATGAATAAGGCCCACCTCATATTTAAAGTTTCAAGAAATATAAAAACATTGAAGGGTCCATGAAATGATTTTTTACTCTGGAGCATATTTGAGGAAATTATCCATTCTTCTTAAATATATAAAAACTATGAGTCATCTTTCTTTTTTTTTTGGTGATCTATTTTGCAAAGCGCACTTTTTAAATCATTTACAATGTTTCATGCTTTTTCTGAAAACAGAGGGCGCCTAGGGCTGCCAACTTTGAGTAAGAGCTGAGAGTGAGAATTTGGCGATGGAGCTGGATCAGAACTAATGCAAGCACGAAGAGTGAAGCCCTAAAAGCATGGGTATGGGGCCCGCTGAAAGGGCCCCCCCCCCAAAAAAAAACAAAAATTCGATTGTAGACGATCTGTTGTGCGATCTGAGGCAATTTCCGACCACTTTAACCAATTTATTTTAGCAAAAGATCATCATTTAAACATCATTTTTCCAGGCTATTTTGTGTAAGCGTGAGAAATCCTGCGGGGGCGCGAGAGAGTGTGAATCACCTGAAATGCGGGAGTCTCACCATTATGTATGAGAGTTGGCAGGCTTGGGCACAGTTATTGTGATGTCACTTTAGACCCTCAACCTTCAGATTGGAGTTTTTCTTCAAATTGTAAACCCATAATTCTGCTTATTGAAAACATTTGTGCTGATTACAATGTAAAGCTTTCTCAAAGTCTTGCTGTCATGTACTGAAATAACAAATGAATCACTGAAAGCAGAATAGTAACCCCATCCAACCCCCATACTTCTGGTGACTGTTTATGCTGTCGCAGATGTGACACAGAAGTTTCTGTCTTGAATGAGGTACTTCAAAGTTTTGCTCATGAAATTGGCCGGAGCATAAAAACCAAAAAGTCGCCGAACTGCACTAAAAATGGCAATATAGGATTAGAAAGTAAAGTTAAATGGGACACCAAAACAATGATTGCATTAAAGCAAATTCCATTTTATGCCATTCAAATGTAATAGAAAACTGTACATCTATCAAAAACCCTCCAACGTCAAATACAGTACATATTAAATAGTCATTTTACCATTTAGTGTAATAGCCCTCCTCCACAATTAAAATTCACTTGCATTCATCATCCAGTGGTCAAAACCCATTCAGTTACAAAAAAAAAAAAGATTTGAAAATAGTTCTTTACAAAATTGGAGAAAAATTCGCCCTCCAGACTTATGCTATAGATCTTTATCGTGCTGCCGCCATTTCAGTCATGTTCCCTGTGTCCAATAACAGTACCGAATGATAATGTTTTTTGTTCAAAAAGGAACCAGACTATTTTCCCTTCCAGCCTTGCTTTGGTTACGTTGATTTGAATGGGGAAAAATCAAGATGGCAGCAACATGATAATGGTCAATATGACCAAAATTAAACATATTACTGTGGTGGAAGCACGTTTCTTCACATGTACATGTACATGTAGTATGCTTTTATTCAGTACTCCGGACTTTCAACCAAGTGGGTTTTCTATAGTTAAAGTTTACAACATTATCGCTATGAAAACACTTTAAAATGTATCGCTATTATTCAAAACATAACGTTGATAATTAAAAATGTGGCAACATTGCTTCACCAAGGTTATCCTCGCCCACTTGGGGTCAACATGCAAATTGAGGTCAAAGTAATACAAATTAGTACATAACCCTTTTACCGTCGATCGTTAGAATTCGTACAATATGAATATTCAAAACCGGACTGTACATGTATAATGAACCCTTCTGAAAAATACGTCACTATTGAAGGTGCACTGATCCTTTGTAAGATTCACAGCAATGTTATACGATGATAAAGCCATCATGCTCATTGAAAAAAACCATGACTCTACCCAGCTCATCGCGTGGCACCCCGCTAGTGTAAAAGCTCATGAACCAGATTTAGCCTAAGAGTTTAGACACCAAAAAACAATCAGTATCATAACTTTAAATTAGTGAAAAGTTCACACTTTCCAACCTTTCTTCTGGAAATAAGGTGTAGGCCTTCACCTTTAATTTTCATTGTTTTTTTTTTAACAGTTTGTGTATTAAAGCATGTTTTTGAAACCCATTAAGTTATAATGCATTAGAAAGTGTGTATCGAAGCCAGAAGAGATCAAATTGTCCACACATTTTTCCATGGGTGGCAGTGAGGCCCAGTGCAGTTTAAAGAGGCAGTCTAGTATCTGGACCCCATTTGTGGTGCTTGGCCTGGGTAACCATAAGTAGTGGTTGATTAACTCAAGATAAAGTGGTATTTTTTTTCAATAGCAATCATTGGCAATGAAAGGTTTGTTTTTACTGGTGAAAAAAACAATGTTACGCCGTCATTGAAATGCAGGTTCAAAAGATAATAAACTACAGCAAGAAGGAGAGAAATAGTCAAACTGTTTGGGTAAATAAATGGAGAATCATCATTTTTATTCTGAGGCTACAAATGCCAAGTTAAATGCCTGGTCAATTACCCAAGACCAAACTACTAAAATGAAAGGCTCCTTATGATGCATATGCTGGTAATACAAAGCAGTATAAAAGTTAAGATAAAAGGGGCATTTAATTTAAAATGTTGTGCAAAACCAAGACACAAAGAGGGCTTGGTTGGGAAGTTAAAGTTAGTGTTTCCGAATCTCCAATAAGAATGAAGCTGATCTACATTGTAGTCTCAAAAGAAATGTAATCGTTTGTATAGAACATTCCAAGGTATAACGATACAATCTTATGGAGCTGGCCCTCCATGATTTGCGTTTATTTTGGAAAAGTTTAGCAAATCTATTTCAGCCCAATTTAAACATTTAAACCTTTAGCCACGTCACACAGGCTGCATGCCACCTGCACCAGTGTTTGCACTCAAGCATGTTAGTTACAAGAATATACAGTAACTAATTATGGCGCACAGCAAACGAAGGGCAGCATCGACACTGATCTACAAAGAAGATCATTCATAATGGACTCTCTGTTGCTTCGTAAATAAAATGGTTTAAAGGTGTCCTTTAGTATTATTTATTGTGTGTGAAATGCATACAAGGGCAGATACAGCAAACATATACAATGCGGGTTTGGTTTAAACATTTTGGAAAATTAATTGTAAATGGATTAAGAATGGTTATCGTTTCAATGTTTAAACGGCACCCTTTACCACCAACCACGCACAAGGGCAACAGCATGTGCGCCTGTCATGTCCTAGCTGCTGTACTCATATTCATAATACAAAACAGTCTAAAAATTTGAGAAAAGTGCACAGAAACTGCAGTGAACCAAGTTACAAAGAAGGCTTGGTTGGGAAGTTTATCTTGCTGAAGTTTGTGTTTCTGAAAGTCCAATAAGAATAAAGCTGGTCTCATTTGTTTAAACAAAAAAAAGGGATCTATTGAAAAAAAACATGGATACTTTGTTTCATAGAGATAGCCCTCGATGAATAGACCATTCTATTTGGCACCGCCCACCATGTATGTGGGCAACAAATCGTTCACCTCTCCTATCTTAAATACCGGTATTATTGTACATGTGGGTGACTGCTCTATGTTCCGACACCCCTATGTTCCGACAACCTAGATTGTGTTACTCCCGGTTAGGGTTAGGGTAAGGGTTAGGGTTAGGGTTAGGAATAGGAACATGTGCAGTCGGAACATAGGGGTGTTGTAACATAGAGGTGTAACCGTACATGTGCCAGACGTGCACATGTCATTCATGGCAATGCATGCACATTACAAATTTGTACACACCTATGTCGGCATAAATCATGGCTGTGATTGGTCAAAACTTCATGGAGCGGGGCTCGTGGATCAGTCTATTGCCCACCTCTTTTCATGACAAATGGTGGAGCACGGTACATGTACTGGTAGCTGGAAATATAAATGAATGTTGCACGATTAGTAGTTACACTTGTACCGTATCTTTAAGCAATACATGTAGAAGTAGAGAAGAACTTGCGACACATGCGGGGTTTTTTTCAAGACTGATTATTTTTCAACCTACAATGCACATAGAACACCTCATGTAAAAAAATTGTTGTTATATTTCTGAGGCGATGGTATCAGTTTAGAACAAATTTTGTCATTTTGGGAAATGGGAAGTTTAAAAAAACATCAAACTAGCACTTCCATTTAAACACATGGAAGTATGTACAACTGTACAAGCTCCAAATAAGTTTCCACATATGACTACAGTTGATGTACATGTGTAAGATACTAAATGTAATATAACACATGTAAACTTTCTATGCACATGTATACAATCCCATATCCTGCTCAAAGTGTTTGAAGTCTGTCCTGTTTGTGAAGTTGCAATCAGAAAGTTTCTGTACATTGCACATGTCCATGGATGCATGGATGTTTTGTAGAAACATTGTCTCGTTACCATTTTTGTACCTTCGTTTATTTTTTATTCCTCGCCTTTTGTTTTGATCGTTTTAACAATTATGTGTTGGTTGATATCTCTAAACCAAGTGATGCATGTACATGTACCCAAGCTCAAACTCCCGATCTATACTTGCAACTGCTAATTTATGTGCAGGTGTGTATGTAATATCAGAACCATCCGGACAGTCCCATGAAGCAATGCACTTGCCATCTGCACTGAAATGGCAAATTTTATATGAGGCCACAAGGTAAATATCACCTGCATCATCACAACACAGCCCACGAGGATAACTACAACTTTGAGTAAACAGTTTGTTGCCATGTAAGTCAACAGCCATCAGCAAACCTTCCTTGCTCCAAATGGCATAAATTAGTCGCTTGTTGCTAAAGACCAAATATGTACCAATCTTTGGAGCAGACAATGTTCTGACAAGGGAACCATCTGGGTTGTGTAGAGATATCTGTTCCTTGTCCTTGTAACCCACTGCTATCAAATTGCTGCTGTCCACTGCCAGGCACGTTGGCGTGCCGTCCACGCCGGCCTCTTTCCCCGGTAGGAACTGATGAAGGAGCTGGTATTCCTTGTTGAAGATCTTGACTGCAGGATTGTCTAGGATCAGAAGTTGATCATCCTTGTTGATGGCTAGAGCTGTTGCTTTCTGTATGTCATTAGGGTCATGGGGTTTGTTCGGTTTAGCACGGACACGTTTGTAGGTCTTTGTAGAAATCACCTTCCCCTCTGGATCCAATGTATGCAGCTGATCACTGCATACCACAACCATTTCACTTGTGTAGTATGCTGCTATACATATATGTTCTGTGAACCATTCACGAAGTTCAACTTTTGGAAAGTTCTCATCCATCTCCCATTTCTCCTCCAGGAGCAGAGTCCCAAGCTGACCATACTCTTCACTCTCCTTAAAGCCAAGGAATGACTTCCCATGCTTGATATCCAAACTCTTATGCACCTCCACCTGCTCATTCAAATCCCGCAGCATTTTCTTCTTGGACTCCAGGATCTCATAGCAAGTTGCTGTAGTCATCACGTCATTCACTTTACCCACAATTTGCTCAGATGTTTCTGCATATGCAAATTCTGTATCTCGTTTAATGGCAATGGCCCTGGCCTCCGTTTTGAGTTGTTTTTCTTTATCTCTGATTTTGGCAATTTCCCTTTCTACTTTCTGTGAAATTTGAGAGTACGTTTTTGCCAGCATCTTGTCAAGCCGGTAACGTGAATGGCCTGAAGAGGGGTTGGCAGAAATGAATTGTTGAATGCACTCTACTGTTTTAGATATGGACTCATGTACTTCTTGTTTACATCTGCTAACCGCTTGGTCGATGCTGACGTGAGAATGTATGGATTCTTTGTGGTCAAAGTTTGTGCATTCATTGCATATGAGAACTTCACATGAGTTACAATACAGACAGAGGTCTTGATCTGGATGCTTGAGACACTTTGGAACTTTCTTGAGTTCATTGTCCTCTGTTATTTCTTGGGACTCAACAGGTAGCTCTGTCAATGCCACAATCTTGTGAGTTCTCAGTGATGCCAATCGATTGTGTGCCTTCTGGCATTCTTGACAAAGATAATGCTTGCAATCCATGCATCGAGAAATGGCTTCGTTCTCCTCATCACATGCCTGACACATGACTTTTAACCCCTGACCTTCAGTCTGCTCCTGTTGATTGACTTCCTTTGATCCTCCAGGTAGCATGTCCACGCCAGCTTCAGTCAGGGCAGTTTCCTTTCGACACAACGGACAGACGATATTCTTGTTGTCCTTATTTTGTGTCAGTCTGAGTTCTTGCAGACATTTCAGGCAGAAGCTGTGTGAGCAGTCCAGCATCCTAGGATCCTTGTACTCAGTGTAACAGATGGGACATTCTTGAAGTTCCTTCTGAGTCTCATCCAAGACTAAATCGGTCACACCTCCTTCTGCCTTCTTGCTCATTTGGACTCTACATGTACCATATAAGAGTGGAAAGAAAAACAAACTTTCAACTTATGCATACTATAAGATACTGTATAAATATAGACTGACTCATGTTCAGTATACAGTGGAACGCCGCTATACGAACATTTTTGGATCCAAAGAAAGTGTTCGTAATAATTATGATTGTTTGGTATAGTGATTTTAAACCACTCTTACCCTCTTTTGACCAATAGTGAACTGGCATTTCTAACATCCCACGGCCGCACGAGGAGTCAACACAAAACTTTAGCTATAGGTGGTTTTCCCTTTTATTACTTGGGCCGGGTGTTTTTCCCTTAATTGTATTCCTTGGGGAAATAATAGCTGTCGCTCGTCGCCATTCACACACGATGTAACTATGGGACGTTCGATGTTCGGGTATTAAAAGTGGCCCAGATTCAATACATGTACAATCGGTAATTTTTTTGTTAATTGTTTATTTGTTGACCGTTTTCAACAACAATGTTCGGTATGTTTTGTACATTAAAACCGGGAGCCAAGGATGATGTTCGGTATAGCCGAATGTTCGGTATAGGGGTGTTCAGTAAAGCGGCGTTCCACTGTAGTTCACTAATAGTTTGCATACATGTAGATGTAAATATGTATTGAAATCACTTCAGTTTTATGCAGATGCAATCAAATACATACATGCACATAACAATTCAAAGGCAAAGAATCAAAGGACATCATGACAGTCGAAAATTCTTCTTCTTGGATGCATGAGAGCACAATGCAGTCTGTCATAGTGTTATTTATTATATTCGCCTGTGTGGCTGCATCAAAGAGAATTTATACGGTACAACATTTGCAAAAAAACAAAAAACAAAACTACCAAGTTATTATGAAATAGTTACTGGACTGTTGGCGAATGACAGTCCAAGGTATCCTGTAAAATCGTGGCACCTGGTGTGCTGACATTTTCAAGAATAGTGGTATTTTTGTATCAATTTCAAATTGGAAAAAAGCTGGCTTTTTATACCATATTATTATGTTATATTCATATAACTAAATTTTCCATATTTAGTTAATCTGAATATTGTTTACAATCGTGATCACACATCTATGAACGGGTACAAGCCTTCTAAACATGTTCCCTGACCATACAATTCCCCGACGTCTATAAATTGCTCATTTTCAATTTAAAGGGAATATACATCATTTGCTTTTGCTGTAATTTTCAGAAATGGATGGAATTGGGGGATTGGAAATATAAAGCAAATATAGTTACACTGACTTTTTGGAGGTTTTGGGTTCGAAAATGCTATAAAAACCAAGAAAAACGATCATTTACCTGTAGTCTGGTTCCCCGACTCCATATAAGAAGAAACAGAGCAGTTTACATACATTGGGGAATTGTAAGGTCAGGGAACCAGTCTAGCTGGCTCGTACCCGTTCATAGGTTTGTAATCGATTGCAAACAAGTGCAATAGTCAATTGGGGCCAGTATTTGAAAAAAAGCCAGTTGTTTCCAACGCTGATCGGCCGATCAGCGTTGGAAATTGATACAAAAATACCACTTTTCTTGAAAATGACAGTATACCAGGTGCCATAATTTTACAGGATGCTTTAGACTGTCATTTACCAACATCCTATTAAGGTATTTCGCAAAAACTTGGTAGTTTTATTTTTCGATGTTTGCAAATGTTGTATATTCCCTTTAAGTGGTGCCAGGGAACCAGACTACAAGAATATGATTGTTTTTCTTGGTTTTTTCTCGAATATCTACAAACCCAAAATGTCAAACAAGTCAGTGTAACAATATTTGCTGTAAAATACTAACCCCAAAATCCATCCATTTCTGAAAATTACACCAAAGGCAAATGTTGTATATTCCCTTTCACATCGTCCACCTACCTACTAGTTCAACAGACCTGTTTATGGGTCAGTTTGAAGTCGTTTCCTGCATGCAGTCTGTCAGCAGTGTCAGCCACACCCTACTAATACTACAACAGCACGACTGTATGTTGTGTACACGGATTGTCCAATACTGAATAGTGTTGTAGATCAAGAATTTAAGTTTGCCTGAAGATAGAGAAAGGACTGTCAGAAAGAATCAAAGGACAATCCATTTGTCTGCATGGGATACAGGGCCCCAAAAGCTAATAACATGGGCTTATTCCATTAGGGTCCCATGGTGCTGTATTTCTCCTGTGCTAGCTTGATTATCATCCTCCACTTACCTACAAATGTAGCCGTTGTATAGGTTGAGTTCAAAACTTTTCCCCCCTTTATGTATACAGTCTGTCAGCAGAATCAGCCACACCCTACATGTACTGCTACATGTACTACAACAGTGCTCACTGCTGTACTGTAGGTATTGTACACATTGTATAGTGCCTCACTACCACAGTCAAGTTCACTTTACTGAGTTGTAACAGCTATCATTGCGACGTCACAATTGAACTGTTTCCTCATGAACATAATTTCTCATCCTCCACTTACCTACAATGTAGTTGTTTTATGGGTTGAGTTTGAATTTTTTTCCTGCATACAGTCTGTCAGCAGACTCAGCCACACCCTTCTTGTACAGTAAGGCCCATGTATACTACAACAGCACGACTGTATGTTTTGTTCACGCATTGTCCAATATTACTGAATAGTGCCTCGCTACCACAGTCAAGTGCACAGCAACTGCTGTCGTTGTGACGTACATGTAAACGTTGAACTATTTCCTCATGAACACAATTCCCAGGTTTTTATGAATAGCTTTTTATGACACATCTCTGACCTCCAGCATATTGTTGTTGGTTGTGGCTATATGGCCCAATTTCATAGAGCCGCTTAAGCACAAAATTTGCTTAAGCACAAAAACGTTGCTCAATATAATCATGTTACCCACTGAAACTCCATGCGATTGTTATGCTAAGTAAAGAACAGCTAAATACCAGTCACAAGCAATGTACATCGCATGGAGTTTTGGCCAGTAACATGATTATATTAAACAAGGTTTTTTGTGCTTAAGCAAATTGTATGCTTAAGCAACTCTATGTAATTGGGCCCTTAGGTGTCCTGTACTTGTACATTATACCCGGCTGCTCTTGTGCATGTACTGTAGGCAGATCATGGATCGGTGTATTACAGTTTATAAAAAGTTGATGAGGATAACCTGTATGGGTTATATTCCACCGGGTTGGGAAACAATGTGTCACATATGACCATATTATGAAAAGCATGAATGCCTTGCTTGCAGTTGCTCTACATAATATTTGTTGTTGGGTGTTTCACTACTGCAGAAAGTTTTAAGTCATTGGAATGTATTTTGCCAAAGATATGAGCCAAAATGTCATTTCGGACAGAACATTGATACCGTGTCAATGTCAATGCCGGCAAGAAAAAAAAAACGTGTAGAAAGTCTATGGGATTTGGAATAGAAAAACATGAAGAAGATAAAAAAATAATAACAAGTACAGCAACAAAGGCTTTTAATTCCCCAAGGTTTTGCGGAAAAGCCAATCAGATTTTCCACACATTTTTTTTGTGTGTGGCAGAGAGGCCCAGTGCATGTTATAGGCAGTCTGTTACATGGGCCCATAGCACTGGTCTGGGTAACCATCCATAGTGGTTAAAACTCAAGATGAAACAGAACTCATCTGCAATAACCAATGTCTTTGGTAATCATTGTCAATGAAAGGTTTGTTTTCAGTGATGCAAAACAATGTAACACAATCATTGAAATGCAGGTTAAATAAATAAACCACAGCAAGAAGGAGAGAACTAGTCACACTGTTCCTGGGTAAATAAATGGAGAACCATCATTTTCATTCTCAGGCTACAAATGCCTGATCAAGTTGAATACTTGATCAAATACCCAAGACCAAACTACTAAAACCATTGGCTCCAATGCATACATGTGCTTATAATACAAAGCAGTATAAAAGTTAAGATAAAAGGGGCATTTAATTGAAAATGTTGGGCAAAACCAAGATACAAAGAGGGCTTGGGTGGGAAGTTAAAGTTAGTGTTTCCGAATCTCCAATAAGAATAAAGCTGATCTACATGTACATTGTAGTCTCAAAAGAAATTTAACCACTTGTATAGAACATTCCAAGGTATATATCGGTACAATGCTTATGGAGCTGGCCCTCCATGATTTGCGTTTATTTTGGAAACGCTTAGCAAATCTATTTCAGCCCAATTTAAACGTTTAAACCTTTAGCCACGTCACACAGGCTGCATGCCACCTGCACCAGTGTTTGCACTCAAGCATGTTAGTATACAAGAATATACATTAAATAATTATGGTGCACAGCAAACGAAGGGCAGCATCGACACTGATCTACAAAGAAGATCTTTCATAATGGACTGTCTTTTGCTTTGTAAATAAAATGGTTTAAAGGTGTCCTTTAGTATCATTAATTGTGTGTGAAATGCATACGCGGGCAGATACAGCAAACACATATTCAATGCGGGTTTGGTTTAAACATCTTGGAAAATTAATTGTAAATGGATTAAGAATGTTTATCATTTAAATGTTTAAACGGCACCCTTTACCACCAACCATGCACAAGGGCAACAGCATGTGTGCCTCTCATGTCCTAGCTACTCTACTCATATTCATAATAAAAAACATTCTAAATATTTGAGAAAAGTGTATAGAAACTGCAGTGAAGCAAGTTACAAAGAAGGCTTGGTTGGGAAGTTTATCTTGCTGAAGTTTGTGTTTCTGAATGTCCAATAAGAATAAAGATGGTCTCATTTGTTTAAACAAAAAAAAGGGGATCTATTGAAAAGAACATATGGAGTACATACTTCGTCTCATGGAGATGACCCTCGATGAATAGACCATTCTATTTGGCACCGCCCACCATGTACATGTATGTGGGCAACAAATCGTTCACCTCTCCTATGTTCAATACCGGTATTACATGTGCCAGACGTGCACATGTCATACATGCGAATGCATGCACATTACAAAATGTGTACACACCTATGTCGGGCATAAATCATGGTTGTGATTGGTCAAAACTTCCTGGAGCGGGGTGTGTGGATCAGTCTATTGCCCACCTGTTTTCATGAAAAATGGTGGCGAGTATGGTACATGTACTGGTAGCTGGAAATATAAATGAATGTTGCGCGATCAGTATTTACACTTGTACCGTATCTTTAAGCAATACATGTAGAAGTAGAGAAGAACTTGCAACACATGTGGGTTTTTTTTTCAAGACTGATTGGAAATATTAAGTTTATTTTTCAACCTACAATGCACATAGAACACCTCATGTAAAAAAATTGTTGTTATATTTCTGAGGTGGTGTTATCAGTTTGGGACCAATTTTGTCATTTTGAGAAATGGGTAATTTTAAAAACAAAATCAAAATCCCATTTAAACACATGGAAGTATGTACAACTGTACAATCTCGAAATAAGTTTGCACATATGACTACGGTTGATGTACATGTGTAAGATACTAAATGTAATATAACACATGTAAACTTTCTATGTACATGTATACAATCCCATATCCTGCTCAAAGTGTTCAAGTCTGTCCCGTTTGTGAAGTTGCAATCAGAAAGTTTCTGTACATTGCACATGTCCATGGATGCATGGAGCATCAATAATTTTCATGGATGTTTTGTAGATATATAATGTCTTGATACCATTTTCGTATATTTTTTTCTTTTTTATTCCCTGCCTTTTGTTTTGATTGCTTGAACAATTACATTTTGGTTGATATCTCTAAACCAAGTGATACATGTACATGTAACTGTACCACCTTTCTGTAACTGCTAATTTGTGTGCAGGTGTGTATGTGATATCAGAACCACCCTGACAGTCCCATGAAGCAATGAACTTGCCATCTGCACTCAAATGGCAGATTTGATTTAAGACCAAAAGGTAAATATCACCTGCATCATCACAACACAGCCCCTCAGGACCACTACAACTTTGAGTAAACAGTTTGTTGCCATGTAAGTCAACAGCCATCAGCAAACCCTCCTTGCTGTTGGTGTAAATAAGCCGCTTGTTGCTGAAGATCAAACGCGTATCAATCTTTGGAGCAGGCAGTGTTCTGACGAGGGAACCATCTGGGTTGTGTAGAGATATCTGTTCCTTGTCCATGTAACCCACTGCTATCAGATTGCTGCTGTCCACTGCCAGGCATGTCGGTGTGCCATCCACGCCGGCCTCTTTACCCGGTAGGAACTGATGAAGGAGTTGGTATTCCTTGGTGAAGAACTTGACTGCAGGATTGTCTAGGATCAGAAGTTGATCATCCTTGTTGATGGCTAGAGCTGTTGCTTTCTGTATGTCATTAGGGTCATGGGGTTCGTTTGGTTTATCAGGGTCAGGTTTGTTGGTCTTTGCAGATATCAACTTCCCCGCTGGATCCAATGTACGCAGTTTACCATTGTGTGCCACGACCATTTCACTTGTGGAGTATGCTGCAATATGGTTTGTGCTGTACACTCTTGCAAAGGCCTCATCTCTCTCCCATTTCTCCTCCAAGAGCAGAGTCCCAAGCTGACCATCCTCTTTACTCTCCTTAAAGCCAAGGAATGACTTCCCATGCTTGATATCCAAACTCTTATGCACCTCCACCTTCTCATTCAAATCCCGCAGCATTTTCTTCCTGGACTTCAGGATCTCATAGCACGTTGCTGTAGTCATCGCTTCATTCACTTCACCCAGAATCTTCTCAGACGTTACCGCATATGCAAATTGTTTATCTCGTTTGGTGGCAATGGCCCTGGCCTCCAGTTTGAGTTGTTTTTCTTTCTCTCTGATTTTGGTAATTTCCTTTTCTGCTTTCTGTGAAATTTGAGAGTAAGTTTTTGCCAGCATCTTGTCAAGTCGGTAGCGTGAATGACCTGAAGAGGGGTTGGCAGAAACAAATTTTTGAATGCATTCTTCTGTTTTAGATACGGATTCTGTTACTTCTTTTTTACATTTATTGAATGCCTCGTCAATACCTTCATAAGAATGCATGGATTCTTTGTGGTCAATGTTTGTGCATTCATTGCATATGAGGACATCACATGTGTTACAATACAGACAGAGATCTTGATCTGGATGCTTGAAACACTTGGGAACTTTCTTGAGTTCAGTGTCCTCTGTTACTTCTTGGGAGTCAACAGGTAGCTCGGTCAAGTCTACAATCTTGTGAGCCCTCAGTGATGCCAATCGATTGTGTGCCTTCAGGCATTCTTGACAGAGATAATGCTTGCAATCAATGCATCGAGAAATGGCTTCGTTCTCCTCATCACATGCCTGACACATGACTTTTAACCCCTGACCTTCAGTCTGTTCCTGTTGATTGACATACTTTGAACCTCCAGGTAGCATGTCCACGCCGGCTTCAGTCAGGGCAGTTTCCTTTCGACACAACGGACAGACAATACTCTTGTCGTCCTTATTTTGTGTCAGTCTGAGTTCTTGCAGACATTTCAGGCAGAAGCTGTGTGAGCAGTCTAGCATCCTAGGATCCTTGTACTCGGTGTAACAGATAGGACATTCTTGAAGTTCCTTCTGAGTCTCATCCAAGACTAGATCGGTCACACCTCCTACTGCCATCTTGCTCAGTTGGACTCTACATGTACCATATAAGAGTGGAAAGAAAAACGAGCTTTCAACTAATATGCATACTACAAGATGCTGTATAATTATAGACTGACTCATGTTAAGTATACAGTGGAACGCCGCTATAATGAACATCATTGGATCCACAGAAAGTGTTCGTAATAATGATCCTTCTATATAGTGATTTTGAACTACTGGTACCCTCTTTTGACCAATAGTGAACTGGCATTTCTCACATCCCGCGGCCGCACGAGGAGTCATCACGAAATTTTAGCAACAGTCGGTTTTCCTATTTATTCCTTGGGCCGGGTGGTTTTCCCTTAATTTTATTCCTTGGGGAAATAATAGCCATCTGTAGCTTGTCGACATTCATACACGATGTAACTATGGGTCTATAAATTGCTTCATTTCAATTTAAATGGCGTCAGGGAACCAGACTGCAAGAACATGATTGTTTTTCTTGGTTTTTCTAGCATCTACAAACCCAAAACATCAAACAAGTCAGTGTAACAATATTTGCTGTAAAATACTAACTCCCAAAATCCATCCATTTCTGAAAATTACAGCAAAGGCAAATGTATATTCCCATAACATTGTCCACCTACCTACAAGTTCAACAGGCCTGTTTATGGGTACAGTTTGAAGTCGTTTCCTGCATGCAGTCTGTCAGCAGTATCAGCCACACCCTACTACAACAGCACGACTGTATGTTGTGTACACGGATTGTCCAATACTGAATAGTGCCTCGCTACCACAGTCAAGTGCACAGCAACGGCTGTCGTTATGACGCCAAAACTGTTTCGTCATGACAACACAATTTCTCATATGGGAAATTCCCAGGCTTTTATGAATAGCTTTTCATGAGAAACCTCTGACCTCAAGCATATTGTTGTTGGTTGTGGCTAGGTGTTCAGTGGTACTTGTACTTTGTACCCGGCTGCTCGTGTGCATGTAGGCAGAGGGATCGGTTTATTATAATTTATAAAAAGTTTATGATGATAATCTGTATGGGTTATTCCACCGGGTTGGTAAACAATGTGTGACATATATGACCATATTATGAGCAGTATGAATGCCTTGCTTGTAGTTGCTCTACATAATATTTGTTGTGGGGTGTTTCACTACTGCAGAAAGTTTGAAATCATTTCAATGTGCCAAAAATATGAGCAAAAATGTCATTCGGACGTAACACTTGTCTTGTATGCACAGCTGAAGAACTAGACTGGAAGTCTGTTTGAGTTCTTTACCCCATTTTATTTGCATACCGCTGATGCAGGTGAAAACTAAAGGAAAATACAAAAATTCATATTAAATAATACAATCATATAAACATCAAAATACACGATTAAACAATTACATCAATAGGTTTAGAGAGAATATTAGACCAATTGTGAACGGGCAGCACCTTATCGACAATATATACTCGGTTGCGGAGGAGTCAACAATTCATTTTAATGAAATACAATTAATCCAATGAATTATTTAAATAAAGAAACCCACTGATATTAAACTGACAATCATTCCCCGGGTAAAGAACCATCGGCACACAGTGAGGTATACAGGTTAAACTGTTGTTGGGTGTTCAGGGATTTACGGCGGCATTCTGGGGTGCTGTACATAATAATGTGAATAGCAAATAAATAAACATACCACAATGAAATATAATTCACAGATATAAATTATATAATAAATTGATATCCCCAAAAATCTGTACTTTCTGTTTCCATGTACCGGGGTGAAGGCCTATAAAATAAGGGCGTTGGCTCTAAGGAATTTCTGCATGAACTAAAACACACGTATCCATGATTATCCAGCCAGGCGCTAGTAATATAGTATATGGATAAATGCTTACAGGGAATTAAATGTTCAGACATAAACATGATATTAATTGAAGTAAAAAATAAACCAAAGTAAAAAAATACTTACAAATTGTTGGCTACCGAAAAGTGAAGTGAGTTGGTCCGGAGCGTGAACGCAACTGATTTGAATTTCCCGCACACCGGGGTGGTGCAAGCAAAAACATTACGTCATGGCATACCATAGATTCCTAAACAGGGTTCGTCTGGGACTGACTAGATTAGACTTGCAAATTATGTAAATAAGGGCTTTAAATAAGGGAAATAGTTACTCCAATGGAAGAAAATTAAATAATTGAATAAATACAAAGTGGCGATGATAACAACATTAACACCGTGTCAATGTCTAAGCCGGTGGAAAAAAAACTTGCAGAAAAACTAGGGGATTTGGGATAGAAAACATGAAGAATAATTTTTAAAATACAGAAAAAAAGGCTTTTCCGCAAGGTTTTGCGGAAAAGCCAATCAGATTTTCTACACATTTTTTCGTGGGCCGCAGAGAGGCCCAGTGCATGTTATAGGCAGTCTGTTACATGGGCCCATAGCACTGGTCTGGGTAACCATCCATAGTGGTTAAAACTCAAGATGAAACACAACTCATCTGCAATAACCAATGTTTTTGGTAACATCATTGTCAATGAAAGGTTTGTTTTCAATGGTGCAAATTAATGTTATACAGTCATTGAAATGCAGGTGAAATAAATAAACCACAGCAAGAAGGAGAGAACTAGTCAAACTGTTTGGGTAAATAAATGGAGAACCATCGTTTATTCTGAGCTGCTAGGTTACAAATGCCAAGTTGAATGCCTGGTCAATTATCCAAGACCAAACTACTAAAATGAAAGGCTCGATATGATGCATACATATGCTCGTAATACAAAGCAGTATAAAACTTAAGATAAAAGGGGCATTTAATTTAAAATGTTGGGCAAAACCAAGATACAAAGAAGGCTTGGTTGGGAAGTTAAATTTAGTGTTTCCGAATCTCCTATAAGAATGCAGCTGATCTACAGTGTAGTCTGAAAAGAAATGTAATCGTTTGTATAGAACATTCCAAGGTATAACGATAAATTCTTATGGAGCTGGCCCTCGATGATTTGCATTTATTTTGTAAACGTTTAGCAAATCTATTTCAGCCCAATTTAAACGTTTAAACCTTTAGCCACGTCACACAGGCTGCGTGCCGCCTGCACCAGTGTTTGCACTCAAGCATGTTAGTTACAAGAATATACATTAAATAATTATGGTGCACAGCAAACGAAGGGCAGCATCGACACTGATCTGCAAAGAAGATCATTCATAATGGACTGTCTTTTGCTTTGTATATAAAATGGTTTAAAGGTGTCCTTTAGTATTATTAATTGTGTGTGAAATGCATACCAGGGCAGATACAGCAAACATATTCAGTGCGGGTTTGGTTTAAACATTTTGGAAAATTAATTGTAAATGGATTAAGAATGTTTATCATTTCAATGTTTAAATGGCACCCTTTACCACCAACCATGCACAAGGGCAACAGCATGTGCGCCTCTCATGTCCTAGCTGCTCTACTCATATTCATAATACAAAACAGTCTCAATATTTGAGAAAAGTGCATAGAAACTACAGTGAACCAATTAAGTTACAAAGAAGGCTTGGTTGGGAAGTTTATCTTGCTGAAGATTGTGTTTCTGAAAGTCCAATAAGAATAAAGCTGGTCTCAATTGTTTAAACAAAAAAGGGATCTATTGTAAAGAACATGGAGTACATACTTCGTCTCATGGAGATAGCCCTCGATGAACAGACCATTCTATTTGGCAGCGCCCACCATGTATGTGGGCAACAAATCGTTCACCTCTCCTATGTTCAATACCGGTATTACATGTGCCAGACGTACACATGTCATACATGCCAATGCATGCACATGACAAATTTGTACACACCTATGTCGGGCATAAATCATGGCTGTGATTGGTCAAAACTTCCTGGAGCGGGGCGTGTGGATTTGTCTATAATTTCCCATCTGTTTTCATGACAAATGGTGGAGTATGGTACATGTACTGGTAGCTGGAAATATAAATGAATGTTGCACGATCAGTATTTACACTTGTACCATATCTTTAAGCAATACATGTAGCTCAGTAGAGAAGAACTTGCGACACATGCGGTTTTTTTTCTAGACTAATTGGAAATATTTAAAAAAAAATTCAACCTACAATGTACATAGAACACCTCATGTAAAACATTTATAGTTGTATTTCTGAGGCGATGTTATCAGTTTGGGACAAATTTTGTCATTTTGGGAAATGGGAAGTTTAGAAAAAAAATCAAACTAGCGCTTCCATTTTAAAAAAACATGGATGTATGTACAACTGTACAAGCTCCAAATATGTTTGCACATATGACTACGGTTGATGTACATGTGTAAGATACTGAATGTGATATAACACATGTAATCTTTCTATGTACATGTACATGTATACAATCCCATATCTGCTCAAAGTGTTCAAGTCTGTCCTGTTTGTGAAGTTGCAATCAGAAAGCTTCTGTACATTGCACACGTCCATGGATGCATGGAGCATCAATAATTTTCATGGGTGTTTTGTAGATAAAATGTCTTGATACCATTTTTGTATATTTTTTCTTTTTTTATTCCCTGCCTTTTGTTTTGATCGTTTGAACAATTACATGTTGGTTGATATCTCTAAACCAAGTGATACATGCACATGTACACAGCAACCCCACTGTACCAGTTCCTCCGTAATGTACATTTAACTGCTAATTTATGTGCAGGTGTGTATGTGATATCAGAACCACCCCGACAGTCCCATGAAGCAATGCACTTGCCATCTGCACTAAAATGGCAGATTTTATCTGAGGCCGAAAGGTAAATATCACCTGCATCATCACAACACAGCCCACGAGGATCACTACAACTTTGAGTAAACAGTTTGTTGCCATGTAAGTCAACAGCCATCAGCCAACCCTCATTGCTCTTGGTGTAAATAAGCCGCTTGTTGCTGAACTTCAAATATGTACCAATCTTTGGAGCAGGCAGTGTTCTGACGAGGGAACCATCTGGGTTGTGTAGAGATATCTGT